CCGCGGGTGCGCGCGCGTCCGTCCACCCGCCCTCCGCGGCCCGGACGCCGAGTTCCTCACAGCCGGCGCGCAGGCGCGCGGGGCCGAATGGGGGCAGGTGGGGGTGGAGGCAGAGGCAAGAGCCAGTGCAGGGGCGGGGGCGGGAGGAAAGCGAGGTGGGGGAGCGATGCTCGCGCACTTGGCCCTAGTGCGCAGGCGCGCCGCGGTGCGGGAGGCCGGCACCTCGCGGGCGCTGGGTCAGGACCGCGCGCAGCAGCTTGCAGTTGGTGGTGTAGGCGTGCCCGGCGCCAGCCTGGGGAGAGAAAAAAGAAAAAGGGGGTTGATTTCGACAGATCTAGAGTCAACGTGGCTGTCCAGGCCCCTCTCCCAAAAGCCAGAATCCCGTCCTATGTCAACCTGAGACCTGGCCCTGACCGTTTCCGGGCCCTTGGATCTCCGCCTGCTTGGGAAAGTGGTCGGGACAAGGCCGCCCTTCTCACCGCCCAGCTGAGCAATGACGGCTTCGGAGACCCATCCCTCCCAGGAATCATTGGCTTGTAATATGAAGCAGCGCTTTTACAGAGGATCTTGCGAAACCTTTTGCAAGATATCCCTGCTATCGTTAGAGTATACACGGAATAGAACTGAAACACTTGCGAATCCAACATTGTTCCCTTCCGAACAGTATCATAATTTCACATCTCCTGTAGCAGAGGAAGGGATCAGATATCCAACCTTTTTAGGCCTAAAGGCTTTTTAAACCTGCAGTTAAACTTTTACACAAAGACCAGGGTACAGAAACTTGGGAAAAATCCACAAGGTTAGAGCGACTAACAGTACTGAATACCGAAAAATCCAGTTAATTGAACAGTCAGCAACTCTGTTTTCTCTTCCATTTTTTAATCGATAGAAGTAATAGAAGTGTGGTGTTTCAGGAACGACAGTGTTCAAATATTTGGTCTTATTCGATGTTGCTAAATACAAACCGGATTGTCAAATTACACTGTTTTGAATTGTAAAATATTACCATAACCAACAGCACTATTATCTGTCACTTGTGCGTAATTGTTCTTGTTCCACAGAGAATAAAGTTCCACACTGGGTCTGTTTGCCATCTTGCCTAAAGTTTCGTAATGAGTAAATCAAGAGAGTATAAAACTACCATATCAAAGTTACACTAAACTTTGTTGTATTTAGCTTAACAGTCTATTCTGGGCCTAATAAACTTGATCCCAGCAGGTCTGATCAAATGAATCTCCTCTCTCAGAACACCCACTAGGTTAAAAAAGTCCGTTAATCGCACAGGTGCCCCAGTTACAGTACAACGTTTCTCGGGGGCTAATATTACTGTCTTGGTTGGCATTTTTCCATTGAATTGATTTTTGAAAATTTGGTCAGATTACTTGTAAGAACACATCCAGATTTTGAGCTGGGTAATTTAATTGATTTATTATCTACTATTTTGTCCGCTTGGGTTACATTTTATATCTCAATACTTTCACTTTTTCTGGTTTTTTTTTTTTTTTCCTTGACTGCTTTGGGAACTTCAGTAAGAAACAAACTATTATGCTTGTATTGTTTTTATGGAACGCAGGATTCAACCCCCACAGGTCTTCTGCAAGTACTATACTGTACCAGTGAATTACACCACTGCCCGTTTTTATTTTTGAGGCAGGGTGTGATGAAATTGCCCAGGCTTACCTTGAACTTGGGATTCTCTTGCCTAGCTGGGATTATAGGCATGAAACACTGCACCCAATTCATCGTTAGTATTTTTAACTAAGAGTAAAATTCATTCATAATTTAAAGTATCTAGTGGCACCACAGGGTCCTTTTGCTTTGGTTTGTTTTTTTGTCTTCATGCAAGTCGGTCATGAAATAAAATGGAAATTATTCTTTTCGAAAATAACATGGAATTGGTTAGTCGGTAAAATTAAAAGGCAAGTAAGCTCCATTAATATGTAAGATTGGCAGTGGTACATGCCTGGAATCCCAGCACCCTGGGAACCAGACAGAAGGATCCCAAGTTCGATCCCAGGCTGGACGACTTAGTGTCCTAGTAAGGTCTTGCCTCAAAATAAAATATGGTATTTAAAAAAGAGATCCAGGCCCAGGTATGTAGCTCATCGGCATAAGGGCTTACCTGGCAAGCCTGAGGTCATGAGTTCAATTCCCAGTACCAAAAAATAAAAATAAAAGAGGAATCCATGTCTGGTAGGAAACACTGGTAAAGTCAGCTATTTTTGAGGCTGACACAGGAAGATCTAAAGTTCTTTTTTTTTTTTTTTTTGGTACAGGGAATTGAACTCAGGACCTTGTGCTTGCCAGGCAGGCGCTTATGCCACTGAGCTATATCCCCAGCCCTAAAGTTCTAACTCAGTGAGTATCATGGTTCATGCGTATAAGCCTAGCACTCTGGAGGCAGAGATGGGGGATCACCATGAGTTTGAGGCCAGCCTGTACTACAGTGACACCCTGTCTCAAAATTAAAAAAAAATAATAAAATAAAAAGAACTCAATGCAAAGACCTGGATTCAATCCTCACTACTGCAAAATAAATTCATTAAATAAATAGATATTGTAAAAAAATAAGGTGAAAGCTGGGCATGGTGGCACATGTCTGTAATCCCAGCACTCAGGAGGCTGAGGCAGGAGGATCATTCCAAGCTTGAGACCAGCCTGGGCTATAAAGTGAGCTCAAAGCCGGCCTGAACTGCATAGCAAGACCCTGTCTCAAAAAGACCAAAAAAAAAAGAAAAAAATAAGTGAGGATGTAGCTTAGTGGTAGAGTGCTTTCCTGGCATGTGTGAGGCCCTGGCTTCAATCAATAATAATAATAATATTAAAATAATAAACGAGGGGCTGGGGATTTAGCTCAGTGGCACAGTGCCTGCTTGGCAAGCATGAGGTCATGAGTTCGATTCCCAGTACCGGAGAAAAACAAAAATAAATAAAATAAGAAGCAATGAAGATGAATTTATATTACTTTCTCCATACCACAAGAATAAAGAATGAGAAGCCACTTTGAAGATATCAATATGTAATACAACCACCATTGTTAATTCCCTACCACTTTGTTTGTAACTCTATATTGTCTGTATTGTGCTTGTGATATGTTGTAAAATGTTGTATGTCTGTTAATGTTTCCCTCCTTTTATCTTTAAAAAAAAAAAGAATAAAGAGCCCAGACCCAAAATTAAAAACAACATGAGCTGGGTGGGGTGGAATAGCATGATAGTCCCAGGTTAGTGGCTGGCTGAGGCAGAAGGATCACCTGAGCCCTGAAATTTAAGACCAAAGCAGCCTGGGCAACACACAACATGTCCACATCTTTAAAAAAAATTTTTTTTTCATTAAATAAATGAATAAATAAAAAGCAACATACCTGGCTGAGAATGTAGCTCAGTGGTAGAGCATTTACCTAGCAGGCAAAGAGGTCCTGGGTACAGTCCCCAGTACCACAAATAAATCAAATTCACCTTCCTACTTAAAAAGCACAAATATTTTTTTAAAACCATGTTTTCCTACTACATTTTTCTCCTGGATTGGACTGAAGGTCTTGTCACAGCGGTACAGTTTCCCCACATAGACAACAACAAGAAAAACAAAGTCTGTACTTAGTTCGTCCCCTTTATTTTTGTCTGACATTTTCTGTTGCAAAAGCTCTTACTGACAATACAGCTGATAGATAAGCACATGCCCTTTGCTCGGCCCCAAACCGAGCAGCTGATTGTATCTGTGCTTCCATGCTTTTCATTTTGGCTGGGAATGCATCAGGAAACGCCGGGAATGGTTTTCTCCATTTCTATCCGGTTACAAATATTTACAGGAGCAGAATTTCTTCTAAGCATGTATCTTTGTGTACTTTTAATAGAAGAGACAAAAAAGAGGGAAAAAAACAAGTAGGTAGCATCCATTATTCTTTTATTTTTATTTTAACAATTAATAATTGATGCTTATTGAAAAAGATCAAAACTAGTTATCTATAATAGATGGTGAAGTCAGTTTCCTCATTTGAATATTAAAGAGAATTCAGAAAGGTAACATTAGAGCAGAGCCATTTGCAAAGGGGAATTAAAATAGATTTGTTTCTAATCAAGCCTTATTTTCACACTGTGAGGAGCTGCTGTAGTTAGCACGCTAGACGTCCTCAAAGAGTTCAGTCATGCGTGATGGAAGCTCAGATGGGGAAAGTGAGCCTCAGCATCGAGCTTTGCATGCTAACGTGGCAACTAAAGCAGATAAATTAATATCGCTATTTCAATGGGAGGACAGAGTACTTACCAGATACTGAACAACGATTTGGCTACAGACGGGCTCCTAAGCTATTAAAGGCAGTTCATGGGAAAACATGTACTTAAATATAAGCATTTCTTCTAAAAGGTAAACTACAGAAATATATATTTTTTTCAGGGGGGCAGTACTGGGAATCAAACTCAGGACCTCATGCTTGACAGGCAGGTGCTGCACTACTCAGCTAAATCCCAGGCCCTCGAAATATATTAACTAGCCCTAAAATGACCAAAACCCCAATCACGTGAGCTTGACAATACTAATTCCTTGTGTTAGAATGAGGGTCTCCTTCCCCCGCCAGAAAATAATAGAAAATAAACACCACCACTGTGGTTTTGATTGTTTTGAGACAGGGTCATGCTGTGTGGTTCAGGATGATCTTTAACCACCATGTAGCACAGGCTACCGGCGAACTGGCGGCGAGTGATTCTCTTGTCTCAGCCTCCCAGGTGCTTAGATTACAGGCGTGCACCACTATGTCTGGTTTCCACTGTGGTTTTTATCAGAGTGTTTGACATCATGCACTTTCTTCCTTTCTCTACCTTTGTATTGCTCTTTCTGTTATAAAAGGTATGTACCAGGAATTGAAGCTTAGGCCTTTACACTGAGTTACATCCCCAGTTCTTTTTTTTTTTAATTTTTTTTTTAATTTAATTTTTTTTTAAATTTTATTTTTGAGACAAAGTCTTGCTAAATCAGGAAGTTGTCCGGGCTGACTAGTAACTCTTGAATTTACAATCCTCCTGGCTTGGCCTCTGAGTACTGGGATTACAGATATGCACCACCACACCCAGAAGACATCCTGCTATTTCTGAGGTCAAAAAGTGAGAGACCAGTCTTACCACCTGACTTACCATATACAAGTGTACTCTTGGAAAGTTATCTAGACATAAATTATCAAAATTCCAAAATGTTAGGGGCTGGGGATTTAGCTCAGCGGCGCAGCACCTGCCTGGCAAGAGCGAGGTCTTGAGTTCGATTCCCGGTACTGGGAAAAAAAAAACCCTCCCCCCGCCAAATATTAAATGATATTAACTACCCAGTCTTCTAGATGACATTTTCTTTCTTTTTTTTTTTTTTTTTTTTGGTTTTTCTCTGGTACCGGGAACTGAACTCACGACCTTGCGCTTGCCAGGCAGGCGCTTTGCCGCTGAGCTAAATCCCCAGCCCCTCTAGATGACATTTTCACTAAGCCTACACTTCATAATCTACTGTTCAGGCTGCTAAGAAAGATAAATATCTTTTTCCCCAGTACTGGAGATTGGATTTGGTCCAAGGAGCTAATTCTGCCACTGAGCTACATCCCCAGCCCTTTCAGATTTTTTGTTTTTGTTTTGTTGTTGTTGTTGTTTTGTTTCCGGTACTGGGAATCGAACTCATGACCTTGCACTTGCCAGGCAGGCTCTGTGCCACTGAGCTAAATCCCCAGCCCCTTTTTAGATTTTTGAAACAGGTTCTAAATTTCCCAGGTTGTCCTTGAACTCTCCATCCTCTTGCTTCAGCATCCAGAGCAGTTGGGATTGCAGGCATCCACCACCATACCCAGCATAATAGTTTTTTTTTGTTGTTTTTTTGTTTTTAAGAAAATCAATTCCAAGCCAGGCGTGATGGTGCACGCCTGCAATCCCAGCACTCGGGAGGCTGAGGCAGAAGGATCGTTGCAAGTTCAAGAGCAGCCTGGGCTACAAAGAGAGCTCAAGGCCAGCTTGAACTGCATAGCAAGACCCTGTCTCAAAAAGACAAAAGCAAAAAAAAAAAAAAAAAAGAAGAAAGAAAATCAATTCCAGAACATTGCACTAATGCTTTGAATGCTATAGTTGGAAAGAAATGATGAAAGAAAAAAATGTTGCCTCATAGAAAAACAGAACTGTAAGCAACCCAGCTGTGTTCTTTAGCTTTTAGTGCTTTTGTAGTATTTGCTTACAGGGAAGTTTATATAAAAACAGAGTAGAGGCTGGCATGGTAATGCACACCTGTAATCCCAGCACTTAGGAGGTTGAGGCAGGAGGATCATTTTGAGTTTGAGATCAACCCGGGCTATGAAGTGAGCTCAAGGTCAGCCTGAAGGGCATAGCAAGACCCTTGAAAAAGACCAAAAAAAGAATAGTGAACTTGCAATGGAAAACAAATATGCTCATTAGTTTTACTGAAATGTATGTTATTGTACATTTTCCATAGAAATATAAAATCTGACTTCATAATAATTATTGCTGAATAGATGGCAACTGTTGTCAGGGGGTTTTCAAATTCAAATTTACAAAACTGGTATCTCGTGGATGTGTTTCCATATGTATTTACATGCAAAATGTAAATAAATCCATGTACCTTCTTTCTTGAAACAGGGCTCCCTATGTAGTTCAGGCCGTCCTTGAACTTACTATGTAGTATGTAGCTCAGGTTAGTCTCCAACTCATGGGAATCCTCCTGCCTCAGCCTCCCAAGTGCTGGGATTATAGACATGCCACACCATGCCTGGCTACGATTTATTTTTTTGTTTTTGTTTTTTTTTGTACTGGGAATCAAACTCAGGACCTTACACTTGCCAGGCAGGTTCTTATGCCACTGAGCTATCTCCCCAGCCCTGGCTACAATTTATTAAAAAAAGAAAATGTTTAAATTTCTACCATTCTTAATCCCATAAAAGCAGTTGCAATTTTTTTTCTCTGTATAAGAGAATACTGCCTATGTACCCTCAGAATTATAAATATAATTTAGTAATATTTGTGAAATTTGTGGGAAATTGGAAAAATATTCTGTTAGTTATGGTTGATGTCTTACGTGGTCAAATTTGAAATTTTCAAAAGTTTTATTCTATATTTTCTAAACCTTTCTTGTTTAATTTTGTACTGAGGATCAAACCTAGGGCTACTCTATCGCTGAGCTATTGCCCCAGCCCCTTTTAGTGTTTATTTTGAGTCTTGCTAAATCACCCATGCGTCCCTCTCACTTTTGATCTTCCTGCATCAGCCTCCCCAGGAACTGGGATTGCAGGCGATCGCCGCTGTACTCAACTAGGAACTGGGCAGCACTTCGTAGTTCCCACCAGGAAGACATATCTCCCTCCGTGGGGCACCAAGGAGAGGCTCCGCCCAGAGCGCTGCCCCGGCCTGACCTCGGACTCGCCCGGGTCAGTGGCGCGCGCACACCTGCAGGCCAAGTTTGCACCCGCCCACGAGTCACAGGGCCAAAGTGCGGCTGGCGACCCTCCAAAGTCACATTGCATTTGCCAGTGTGCTTTCTTCACAAACAGAGAGCTATTTCCCAACCCCGAATGCAGAGGATCTGAAGGTGCGTCACAGCCGATCATCTAGGGCAGCGTCACCCCATCGAGGGGAGGAAGGTGCCGGGCGCCTGCAGCGCGGGAAGCGAGAGCTTGAGCTTCCCGCGGGGCCTCTGCTGCGCTTCAAACGCAGGGCGGGATGGAGGCGGATTACAGGACCTGTGGGGTTTTTTGCTTGGCTGGTAGGATTTTTTTTTTTTCTTTTTATAAGAACCCACAGCCCTGGCAATTAATTCCCACCACACTCTCAAAGAAAAAGGGAGCGCCTCAAGGACATTGGGTCCCTGCGGTTGCACTGTCCGTGCCCAGCTCGGCAGAGGGAGCCGGGGCAGCAGCCCGGGCCGCGCCTGCGTCCACACCGGACCGGACGCCGCGGCCAGGCTAACGGACCCGTCATTTGGCTCAGTGAACAGGGACGTCAGGCGGCGCCCAATGCAAGCCCTTCGGGTGGGCCGCTCCCCTCTGCGCCGTCGGTGCCTTCCCGAACATGGCGCAGGCGGGAGCGAGGGCGAAGCCGCGGGCACCGCCCCCGGGCACACAGAGACCGCTCCTTTCCGGTACACCCGCACTACACAACCAATAACCCCTCAAGGAGTGTAGTTTCCGCAAGCAGGAGCTAAGGAAACGAGCTGCAGGGGACAGGCCAGGTGCTCAGACTCAACGACATCAAAGCGGATGCCACAAGCAACGGGGGAAGGGGCACGGCAAGGAGGACTCAGTGCGCACGCGCGCGGAGGAAAGCCGGGAGCGCTTTGGAGCTGCCTCTCCATTCGAGGACAGAGAAGTTGCCCCACTGCGCTTGCGCGACAATGTTGGGGGAGGGGAGAGCCTGTTCCCTTCATTGTGAGAGAGACCCGCCCCCTCAGGCGAGCGGGCGCGCACGTAGGACTCTCACACTCCGGCGCGCCGCGCTTTCTGCCGTGCTCACCGCGCATGCGCGGGGAGGGAGGTGGCTGCGGCGAAACCTGCGGCCTCTTTTGAGTTTCCCTGAGAAGTTTCTGGAATGACGGAGCCTAAGGGAAGCTGGGGGATGGGAAGCGCTGGCAAGCAGCGTTTGAGAGAAGGCGAAATATCTAAAGCAGACCGCCCGCCATCGCCGTGCTTCCAACTCTCCAGCCACGGCCAAAAGAGCCGGACCCCACCGAAGCCCTCACACCGTGGGGAAAACCATGGGGACCGCCCAGACCCCTCGCCTCCGGGACAGGGAGCGGGCAGAGATGGCCGGAAACGTCCGGAGCGCCACGAGACGTTTGCACGGCGGAGCGGGCGCCGGCGGCCCGGAGTTCGAGCCGCGCTAGAACGCGGCGCAGCAGCGGGGCTCGGGTTTAGGGGCGTCAGATCCCGTTTTCCGTAGCCTGCCCTCGTTGGAGGCTCTGTGATTTCGCCGCCACCTGGCTCCACTTTGGTGGCGTGGAGCTAACGCTGCGAGCGGAGGGAAGCTGCTCTACGTGACCGCACCGGCCTGAGGCTCCACGGGGCGGGGGCGGCGGCGCCTCGCGTCCCGGGCCGGGCGCCTGGCTGCCATTTTGTGGCGCGGCCGCCATTTCGCGCCGCGCGGGGGGCGGGGCGGGGCGCGGCCCCTTTGTTCCTGGGAGGCGCTTGGCGCGTGCGGCCCCGCGGCCTGGGAACCTGGATCGAACGTCCCACGCCTTCCCCGCGCACGCCGCGCGTGGACGGCGCGGAAGGAGGACGCCTTGCCAGGGGAGGGTTAACGCAGCGTGCAGGGCCGCCCTGCGGAGCCTCGGGCCCGTGGGAGGAGCAAAGCTTGGGCCCTCATGGCGCTCTGCAAAGAACTTGAGGGGCAGAGCGGGCCGCTGCGGGAGCCCTAACAAAGGTGCTGACGCCCGTGGGCAGGCCGATCGCTTTACAAAGGAAAAAGCCGCGGTAGTGCCTGAAGCGCGGCGGGCGGAGACCAGAGCTCGCATCTGATTGGCTGGCCCCCTGCTCGCACTGCGCAGCTGCGATCCGACGCGGTCTATGGTGCATTATTTACCTCTGGGCGTCAATCAGCTCGAACAACGGATCGTGAAGTCTCTAGTTTCTGTCTGTTGAGAACATCTTCCGTTTAACTGCTTTTTCAAATCTCTTACGAGAATGTAAATAACCAGCTGACTGAATAAAATCTATTATGTGCCTTCCAGCCTCATTTCGAATGCTGAAAGAGCTGTGCCAATCTGATTTCGGGGGAAATGTTTAAATATGAGTCTTGGTGTTTTAATGCGAACGTCGTGGCTCGAATCAACAAAGCCAGGAAATTCGAGAGTAATGCTGCTAAAATTGTCTTCCAACCGTGCGTGGTTCAAGTTTGTTTTTTCTTCCCGACAGCTGGAGTTCATAAAGGAGTCAGCCCTTCCTGGCTCGAGTTCATTGATGTCTCAGCCTCAGAGTGGCGAGCGGAGAGTTTTTGTGTTACTCTGTATAATTATAGGAATTGATTATCAATTTCGCTAATAGAAAACTGAAGCTTATAAGGATGAGATTGAAAACGTTGAGGGACCAGATAAGGATTTGATGGCTTCCAGATGAAAAATCTCAGAAGAGGTTTATTGGGAATAGGAGTATTGCATAGAGCTTTAAGTTTTTATGTCTTACCTTCACGTTCGAAATCTTTTTAAATGAGCTACTGTATTTTGGACAGTGAGTGCTTAGAAAACAAGTTTTTTAGTAGATTTCTTTTTGCCTGTACATCCAAAGTAGAATTAAACTGTTAATTTTGTTGGGAATAGGACATACCCTAAGAATTCAGGCGGTATATTATGCTCCAGTGTAGGGAGTTAAAATTCAGGGAATGATCGCTCAACGTGTCTTTGTACAGACTAGAGGATCAGCTTAATTCTAGTTCCTCAGGTATAGTTTTATTTATAAAATATAATCATAATGTCATACTTTTTAGTTGTTTTTGTTCTTTGAGACAGAGTCTCCTTATGTAGTTCAGGCTGACCTTGAGTTATGTAGCCCAGACTAGCCTTGAGTTTACAGTGATCCTCCTGCCTCAGCCTCCTGAGCACTGGGATTACAGGTGTATGCTACCTCACCAGGTTAATGTCATACATTTAACCACTGCCTTTATCACACAGATCACTTTGCTGAGGCAGGAGGATTGCTAGTTTAAGGCCAGGTGGACCATGTGTGAGACCCTGCCTCAAAATGGTGCCAGTTTATTTACCTACTTATTTTTGGCAAGGTTGAGACAGTTCCTGCATGTAGTACAGCCTCGCCTTGAATTGTGTGTGCCCCAGGCTGTCCTCATACTCTGTGTGACCCTCCTGCCTCAGCTTCTGGAAGCCTAGGCTTACACACATGCACCACCATGCCTAGCTTGTTTTCTTAAAGAATAGGTCATATTTACACGGTTGGCATCTCCCTGTTGTCCCATTGGTTTGTATTTGCAGAATAAAGTTGAACAGAAATCCTGGGATGGCCTCCTCCCCCATCAAAACATTTTCCAACTTCCAGAGCTGAAAGGCCCATATGTTGCTGAACAGGGGAACCATGTGCAGAGAGCAGAGTTCAAATGGGTTTTGAATCGGCAGAATCTCAAAATCTGCCCCAGGGGTACAAAGGCCTTTGTAGCTGTAGTCCTAGATCTCATTTGAATATGTCCGGCCCAGCAGGATTAGTGAATTCCAAAATAGCCAGTCATTGTTCCTTCCGGTTTTCCTTTTTGTTCTGAAACTGGGGTGTCTGGATTAATTTGTACCTCCGTTTTGAGTTCCCTAAAAGAATGAGGGCGTTAACCAAAACCTTTGCTTTTACCTAGTTCCCTAAGACTGCCAGTACAGAATAACACTTAAGTTTGTCCATCCATTGTCCCAGTAAAGGACAGCTTTTCTTGTAAATCCTGGCATAGGAGACAATTTAGAACGCTAAATAATAACCTTTTCCTGGTTAAGATAAATGAGCTCTTTTAGGGGCTTTAGTAATATGGAAAGTCCCTCTTAAATATTTTCGGCAACACCACTCCCACATAGTATAATAGGTTTTTTTTTCCCCTTTGAGGCAAAACATTGAGATACAGGGCTGTGAAGTGCACTTCAAAAGTATTGAAGTTCAAGGAAAAAATCCTTGCAGCCAACAGCTTTCTTCTTAGAAAAACAGAAACAGTTATAAAAGTGAAACTATTCCTGGGACACCTAACGTGTTTTTCTTGCCAGAGTAGAAATGGTCTTTCCTAAAGCAAAATTCCATCTTGACAACTGTGCAGATTAAGAGGCTGGGGATTTAGCTCAGAGGCACAGTGCCTGCCTGGCAAGTGCGAGGTCGTGAGTTCGATTCCCGGTGCCGAAAAAAAAGAAAACAAAACAAACAAAAAAACCAACGGTGCAGGTTATAAGTAGATTTATTGCTTTGGCATCATGGCTTAAATGCCCTATCAGATAATATATCAAAAAGACTTCCGCTGGGCATTGTGGTGCACACCTGTAATCCTAGCAGGAAGCTGGGGCGGGAGGATCAGGCCGTGAGTTCAAGGCCAGCCTGGACTACCTCTCAAGACCTTGTGTCAAAACAAACAAGCAAGGGGCTGGGAGTTTAGCTCAGCAGCAGAGTGCCTGCCTGGGAAGCGCGAAGTTGTGAGTTTGATTGCCGGTACCGGAAAAAACAAAAACAAAAACGAGCAAAAAAGGCTTCTAAACTTCAGGATTTTAATTTATTTGTGTATTTAACAATTTTTGAGGCTCAACTGTGTGGCAGACCCTACTTGTGCTTAGAATATATCACTGAATGAAGACATATCTTGTGGAGAGTGGGTAGAGAGGTCAGTATACTCAGGAGATTAAAAAGTAGGAATGTTAAGTATTGGTGGGAAAATACAGAAAAAGGATAAGAGAGAAGTGCGTCCTGAAATGTGAATGGGGTGGTCAGAATAAGCCGTTAAGGAGATACTTAGGAGGGATCTGTGGAAGCCAAGGGAGTGGACATCCGGGGAGAGCTTCCAGCCAGAGCCCCAGGTAGGTGCTAGACTGGCACCTGGGCAGTCGTGCATGGAGACAGCAGGAGAGCTGAGACAATCAGCCAGAAACAGCAGGGTAGGATGGATATCAAAGCGGTAAAGGGTGCATGGTGAGGATCTGTAGATGCTGCTAAGTCATAGTGGACAGACTTTGGTTTTAATTAGCATGGAGGCATTGCATGACAGGATTTAGGTGGTTTTTTCTGTTGTCTTTTTGAGACAGGGTCTGATTGTGTAGTTCAGGCTGGCCTTGAGCTCACTTTGGCCTCAAACTCACAGTGTTTCTCCTGTCTCAGCCTCCTAAGTGCGGGGGACAGGCGTGCACCACCACACTCAGCTAAAAGTTTTTATTTTATTTTCAATGTATTACATCATTCTCTTGCTTGTTTTTATAGTGCTAGAGATTGAACTCAAGGCCTCTTGACTGGCAGTGATTCACACCCACATCCCCTAACCTTATCATTTCTTATTGGAACATGTGATAAAAGTACATCGGTACTTCAGTTCATGAATTTAATTTCTTCTGTGATTTTGGAAAAGATGGCCACGTTTGTGCTTGTCACCCAGTGTAGAGGTTACCAACAGAACCAAAATTTGCCAAATGTTTGTTTGCGAACCAAATTGTTCATAAACAAAAGTATTGGTGAACCAACCCATCAGTGTACAATACTATGTATTTTGATTTGTTTTTGTTTTTTGCGGTACCAGGGATTGAACTCACGACCTTGCATTTGCCAGGCAGGCACTTATGCCGCTGAGCTATATCCCCAGTCCTCCAGTTTTGTTTTTGTTTTTCTTCTGGTACTGGGAATGGAACTCACAACCTTGCGCTTGCCAGGCAGGCGCTGTGCTGCTGAGCTAAATCCCCAGCCCAATACTACGTATTTTTTTTTTTTATCCTGAAACATGATATTAAAGGGCTTTTTGGTTTTGGTGCTGGTGTTTGAACACAGGGCCTCAAAATCCTCCAGCCAAATTTTTTATTTTGTAATATCAATTTAGGTGAAATGGTGCTCTCTAGGTTACAGAATAAGTCTCTGCTGTTTTTCTTATCTTCCAGCACGCACTCGCCGTCTGTCGTTTACACGGTTCATTTGTGGGTTGGGAAGACTATCTTTCTAAGAATGGAATACGAGAATTCCAGGGGGAATATGGAAAGGAGAAATATTTTTAAAAAAAAAACCAGTGGATTCTAATATACCTACTTTGGGGGACTTTGCATATCTCCTGGGTATCCTGATATAAGACGTAAAATATAGCTGAGGAACAGAAGACCATTTCTTTAATAAACCAGTTAGTTGATTTGGTGGTTTGAGTGTATCAGGTGCTGATCAGAGGCTATGTCTCAACAATTTGACTTTCATGAGAGGTCCGAGGGAAATATTAAAATTTTTCATAAAATTTATGTCTCCTTTCAAAAGATGGAAAAGTAAATGTGGTATCCATTATACTGGGGAAATTGAAACCATTTGTACAAATATCATTGGACTTTTTTTTCAAACCATCGGTTATAGTTTTGCCATTTGAAGAAACAAAACCAACTTTGTCTTTTTGGTTTGATAAATTCTCTGTTTGAATGTACTTAACGCTAAACACTCCCGGTTTAGTTCTTCTGCGTTTGTTCAATAAATACTTTGATGGGAGGAGTTTACTATAAAAGGAGAACACACCAACCAGAGTGGTAGAGCCAGCCCAGGTGGTGCTAATCTTGTAATCCCAGCTACCTGGGAGGCCCTGCGGGAGGACTGCAAATTCCAGCCCAGCCTGGGCAATTTAAGGAGACCCTGTGTGCAAGAAAAGGGCTGGGGATCTAGCTCAGTCCTCTGTGTGTGGGTGTGTTTGCGCGCGCACACACACACACCTACACACCACACACACAAAGGAATAGCCAGAAAGGACTGGGACTCAGTCCCCAGCACCAAACAAAACAAGAATAGAAGCTGGTAAGGACTGCATGGCTGGGGAATTGAATTGTAGAAAGGTTTGTTTGGGGGTTGGGGATTTAGCTCAGCGGCACAGCGCCTGCCTGGCAAGTGCAAAGTCGTGAGTTCGATTCCTGGTACCGGAAGAAAACCAAAACCAATAAATAAATAAATACAAAGAAAAGTTTGTTTGCTTTTTTTTGTTTTGTTTTAGTTTTTGGTGCTATTTTGAGGCAGGATCTCACTATGTTGCCCAGGCTAA